TGGAGGATTTCTCTTTAATTTCTAATTAAATTTTAAAAGGAATTCATATAGAGGAAAATCCTTCGAAAAATGAGAAATCTAGGAATTAAGGATTTCTTTTTAATTTGACGAAAAAACACTCTAAACGTAGATCTTGGGGGGGGGGCCAGCATATATATATATATGGTTTGGGGGGGAATATATGGTAGACCCCCCCCCGAGAATGAATATATCCCAATAAACCCCAATTATGGAGAATCAAATGGAAAATGAAATGGAAAATAACATAGAAACCGGGATTTTTACATGGACTGCACAGCCGGCAGCATCGATGTGGACTCCACATCATTCTCTGCAAGGTGCTTGGCAATTCAGTAAAGGAAGATTTGCTGTTAGCCCTTCCAAGGCTGTCTCTGTTCCGTGCTTCAGCTCCTTACGTGGCAATGCGCTGCCCTTGGAGACTATCATGCATGTTTTCCTTCCGCCATCATGCATTCTCGTCATGGGTGCCGGGGGCAGCGCACTGTAGCCTGCTGATGCGCATGGCGATTGACAACCGCTGCTGATGGTGACTACAGTATGATGGTAATTGTCATGACATCGGAGGTTATGATCAGTATGCTTACGACAACGACCAGAACCATGGCTTTCGTCCTGTTTATGTTGATGGTGATGGTGATGGTTGCTGCCGCTTTGCATTCCATCTTGTTGACGCTGTAGCCAGGGCTTAAGCTTGCAGCAGCGGGAAGGTAGCATCATGACTCCGTGGGAAGTGATCTAAAGCATACAGAGGCTGGAGTAGATTGTCGCCAAGATGGCTTGAACTTTGCACCGGCTTTGGAAGTGGAGCGTTCTGTAATTCTAATCATGTCTGCTACCGCAAGCATGGTGAGTACTGTCCTCCAGGGGGTGCCATGATTGCCGTCGGCATATGGCAGCATTATCTTGCTTAGCTTTAAGACAGTCTAAACCGGCTATGGCTATGCCAGTGCCTTTCCTGGGCCATAAGGCTTGGCCCTTGTTTTACCGCCAAGTAGGACTGCAAGAGTGAGTCAGGCTTCGTGTTTCGCTGCAAGGGGTAGTCTGTTGAAGGGTTAATTGGCAAGCTGCATTTCAGTTTCCGGAGGTGTGGCGACCGACCCGACCAGCGCTGGTTGTGATCCTTGGGCTAGCCTGGCCCCCAGGTAGGAAAGGCTGTTCATGATTGTTCATGCAATACTCAGTTGAAGGCGAACAGATTTGAGTCAGGTCTTGTTCAGTTGCTGTGGGATCCTTCAAGCTGATTCTGAAGCCGAGTGATTGCTCCCGGGCCAATGGGTTCAGAGGCTTTGGCACTGGCATCTCACGTCGCCTTCACTGGGATATCAGCCAGGCCTCCTGGTCTGCAGCACGTGTAACGCGGTATTCCCAGCCAATGCATTTTCCACGGAAAAACTATCTAGTGGCTCGTCCTCACCCTGCATAGGCTTCGTGTTCGGGCCGCTCGGAGCACACTATTTGCCGAGGCAATTCCATTTGCGGGTGCTTCATGTTTAGGATTCAGGGTTTAGGGTCAAGGGTTTGAGGGTTGTGCTCAGGGTTTGGTGATTTCAGGGGTTTAGGGCTTCATGTTGGGGCCTAACTAGTGTGAGCCCCTTAACATGTGTTTGGAATCTCATTTAGTGGAGGGGGAGGACCCCTCCAAACAAGCTTGGATCGTTGAAATTAAAACCCGTAGGAGGATGGTTTTCGGAGCTCTGTATCCGTTTTGCATTGAAAGATCAACATAAGCAGCATGCGGAGCTCAGTAGCTGTTTTTAGTCAAATCACATTGAAAAGCAGGAGCGCGGTGTTGCTTCGTAACTATTTCAAATCAATTTGGATAGGAGGGGGTTGTGAGCCTTTAAAGGGACAGGCTTCTACTATCTGGAATCCTGATAGAGCCCAAAAATTACAGCATATAGTGTCATTATTGAGGACCGGGCAGCTGCTGGCTACCTCTTGCAGAAATGATTGGCTGGCTTCCTCGAATTAGTGGTGCATTCTGCATTCAGAAGTGGATAGTCTTGGACCTGACTGAAAACTGAAATCTTGAAGCTTGCGATTCTTGAGGCAAAAATTCGAATCTGAAAGGTTAGTAAGTGCAGCTTGGATTAGGACCTTCACTAAGTACTGCGTGAATGAGGCTGACTGGTTAGGTGAACCTACGCTGGTTTGGCCAGTTTGACAAATTTCCAATAGCTTTAGTCCTCGTTAACTACTTCCAAAAAGTTGTTTCGGGCCACGCAACCTGACACAATGAAGGCTCGCCAAAGCAGGGCTGAGGGGGGGGGGCCTCAATAATGTTGGCCAAACTTCACAATTAATAAAGACCTCCCTCACTGATCGTGACTTGACTCTTGCAGTAGGTAGAGAAGAACCGAAGTTATAGCCAACCAGATAGTATCCTACAGCCTCTTGTCGTGTGCTTTGTATACGGCACTGGTGTTGCTTAATGTACGTACCTTGCCATTGATAAGGTTGATTGGGCTCAAATCCACCAAAGCCCTCGCTCATTGCGCAGAGGAGCCTCTGGCATATCGAGCATCAGGCGCTTGCCTTGACTTGGGGTTGGGAACTGTCGGGTTGCCATAACCATTCTCGAACTGCATCCTGAAGAAGGTCGTGCGCCTGGAGGCTACCAAAGCCGCGTCAAGGCGAGGCAGTGCGGTGATGTGCGGTGATGCCCGGCCAGTCATCCAGCGGTAAGGATGATTAGAA